AAGAAAGTTTAGTTCTTTCATTATAATCTGAATGCCATTTAATTTTTCTTGAGATATTGCATTTGGCTAGACCCGTACGGATATTGTTGAATAGAAGTAGTGGAAGTGGACATCCTTGATCTTATGGGGAAGAGCATTCAGACTATCACCATTAAGGAAGAGTAAGGGGAGAGTGTAATTTATGGTTCTTTTTTTTTACATTTTCCTAAAAAATGAAGTGTGTAACAAAAACCTGTCAAAAATAAAACCTGTCAAAAAAGAATCAAAACAAAGGGCTTCATTTTGATCCTGTTCATTTTTCTCTCACAAGTGCTCAGAAGGGGTTCAAGGAGGTGGCGGCTGCATCAGGGGACTCTGATTCTGTAGTCATGAACAGCTCTCCCTGGAAGACCCTGTGCAAGGAAGGGCATGCCTGGTGGTTTTCCATGAGACTAAGGATGAGTAAGTAAGGATGGAGACATCAGCAAGGGTCTTTCATTTTTGAAAGATATTTTAACTGGGTAAAGAATTCTAGGTTGACAATTATTTTTTCTTTCTGAAGATACCATTTCACTGTCTTCTAGCTTCTATTTCTGGATGAGACCTGCTTTAAACCTTATCTTCGTTTCTCTGAATATAATGTCCTTTCTCTTTGATTGTTTTTAATACTGTCTCTTCATCATTGGTTTATAGCTATGTGATTTTTATGTGCTTTTGTGGAATTTTCTTTATATTTTTAATGCTTAGAATTTATTGAGTTTCTTGTATCCTTCTGTTTATAATTTTCTTTATATTTGGACAATTTATGATTATTTCTTTATATATTTTTCTCTACCCATTGCCATCTTTCAGGATTCCAAGTATGTGTATTTGTCACTTACATTTCTCCCAGAACTCAATGATACTCTGTTCCTTTTTTTCAGTTATTTTTCTCTTTGTAGTTCATTTTGAATAGTTTCTATTGCTATGTCTTAATTTTGAGACTTGCCACATCCTCCTCTTGGTTTCCAGACCTGTTGTGTTTTGGATTTAGGAGAAAAAGAATAATTTATTGGTCACTAATTCAGAGCAGATAACTCATCCTGCAAGAGAGCATCCCAACACCATAATGTGTGGACAGTACTACAAGGGAAATGGGAACATGAATAAAATTAACATGTAAGAAAAGAGATTTGTGATTTATACTTTTGCATTGAAGTTATTGCTATGTTTGTTAATATGGTCTTAAAGGAGAATCATTACAACAAGAAGAAGACAAAGCTAAGTGATTGAGAAGAGATCTTTTAGTAAATATCTACATAAGCACATATACTAAACTGAATACAAAACCTGTGAAGCACTTAGAAGCAGGACTTGTTAATGAAAGAGAAGATTTGAAAGATTCCTGGAAATGCTGAGTCATTTTACCCTGTTGCTAATTGTTTTTTTGAGAGTATTTGTATCACCATACTCTCGTTAGCAGAATTACTTAAACCAAAACAAAAAAATCCTCTCAGGTAATTTAAAAAGAGGGAAAAACATTTTCACTTGCATTATTTGTTTACTGGTGGGTTGAACATTTTTTTCATGTTTGTTGGACATTTGTATTTTCTGACATTTCATCTTTTGCCAATTTTTTATTGTCTTCTTGGTGTGTTTCTAGTAGTTTTACATGAGTTGGTTATTATATATTGCTTTCTGTGTTTATCTTTGGCATTCTGGTACATATTCTTAGAATTTTCTAGAAACATATATGTTTTTATAACTCATGAAAAGGAAAATGTTGCCTTTTTTAAACAAATGAAAATGAAAGCATCCGTGCTGTATTGTGTGCAACCACCAACGACTTCCCAGATATGGAGGACTGAAATACCTGCAGGCAGGGCTGTAAAATTTCAAGAGGCAAATATCATGCTGCACAAATACTATACACCTTTAAATCTGGAAGACATGAACATGACCTTGAAGGCAGGAGTTAGATTGTTCTGAGCCCAACATGTGCTTGTCATGTGTGCTTAGCTACATGTTTACTGAATGAATGAATGGTTTGTTCTTCATGTAGGACACAGACTCACAAACCAGTCTTGCAGTTTTTCCTTTGTAAATTGACATTGAACTTTGAAAGACTATCCATTAGCCTCCTGGGTCTGTATTTGGAGTATTTTGTAATTGGACAGTATATACTAGTTCATCTGAAGAAAACTGTGCCTGAGGGATTAATGAGAAAAAATAATTTAGGAATTGCAGGGACTGTGTTATCAAGTGCAGGCTGTACATTTATCTGGTGGAGAAATATCTCCCTCAGGTGTTTTCATTAGATATGTTACACCTAGTTTATGTCTCCATGTTTTCATGTAGGGAATTTATGTTATTAAAACCAAAAGTAAAAATTATAGGGCTAGGCAGGTGGGAGAAACAGCTCATCTAATGAATTAATGATGCTCTCAAATCTATGTTTATTATTGACCTTTTTATGATAATATCCAGGACCTTCTACTGAGATTTATGGCATGGTATCCCAAATAAAAATCATTTGTTTATAAAATTCCTCTGAATTACTATGTTGTTTTGGCAGTTTAATACAGATTAATTAATTTACTTCCTGTGTTCATGTGTGTAAGAGTGCATGCTTCTCAGCAGTCTTTTAAAAATTGAGAATAAGAGTTTCCATTTGGCAAAGTAGTCTTTTTACTGTTGAGATTCAGTCTCCATCTAAGATCTGTTGACATGCTTCTCCAAGGTGGTAGAGGTAGAAATAGTACACTTACCTTGGATTATAGGATGTTATTTATGGTACTCAAGAAGCCTTGAATCTGAGTTGCCAACTCCCAAATCTTGGTATTCTTGTGGTTGGAAAAAAGTAGACAGGTTAAATATGAATTAACCTAAATTATCTACTTTACATGAGAGTTTAATTTTCCTTGGATATAGTCCATCAGCTGCTGTGTAACCAATTACCAACAAAATTGTAAGAGTTTTTCTCTTGGATTTAGATAGCTGTTAAAAGGGCCCATAGGGAAACATTTCCCCCATGCAAAGGTTCCTTGGGTGGGAATTCTGCATTCAGCTCTCTAGAATAAATTTTAACCAATAAAATGCATTGGTTATAAAAGTTCTTTAGGCTCCTAAATTGGAAATCCTCGGGTCCAGCTGAGACATCTCAGTCCTGTTTTGTGGGAACTGACTTGGCATAGGGTAGGAAAAAATATAGGTTTTTTTTTTGGATTCAGCCTTGGCTTCAGAGAGCATTTCTGCCACTTCCCAGTGTGGTGACTTTGGGCAAACTTAACCCTTCTTGTTTCCTTATTTGTAAAATGGGAGTAATAGCACCTTCTTCACAGGATGTAAGATGGACACAAGTCAAAGTGCTATCTTTAAATGTTTGTGCAATACACATATAATGGTAATTCTAAGTTAATGGGTGCTTTAACCTTATTGTGGAAATCATTGCATAATACATACTTATGTCAAATCATTACATTGTATACCTTAACTTACACAGTATTACATGAAAACTATATCTCAATAAAGCTGGAGAGAAAAGGCCTAACAATGTTTGGGCCAAAGGTGATACATAATAAATGTTATTTCATTACACACAATAGGTTCAATATAGCCTACCAATACCTTGTGGTGAGAGTATTTATGGGGTTAATAATATTCTTTAGGAAAGTGGTGAGGCTTCACTTGTTTTCTAAAACAAGGTAGAACAGAAAATGAATTCTGGTAAGTCACACTTGTGTCTGTTACATAACTTTCTAATGGAAGCATGGAACGCAGGTCCTAAAACTTCACTCTTCCGTCTCTGTTTCAAAATTAGGGACTCAGTATAAACATCTGAGTTTTGCAGATGAGGAAGGTGCAGTCCAGACCAGTGAGTCAGAGAAGGCCCTCCCCACTGCTAGCCAATAGCAGAGGCAGGACTAACTGCCTCTAGCTTCTATCCTGGGCTTTGTGATCTCTCAACACAGGCACACTGGAGAGTGGATAATAACACTGTCTCTGGCTTTCAGCTAAGCCAGTAATGTTAACCACAGAAGTAGGAGGTAGCTGTGTGCATGATATCTCAGGACCAATCTCTCCCCTGACATCCACTGTATGTGTGGATGCGGAGTAAGAACAGGTCATTCGCTCCTGACATTATAGGAAAACCATGGCTGCTCTTGATGAAAGCTTTAAAATTCGAATATAATTTTTGTTAAGTGGAGCAAATCCTTTTAAAGAGAAAATGATTTTGTAGAACACTTGTCCTTTCATACAAGTAAGAAACGTAAGTATGATTAGGCTAAAGAGCTTCCTTTACTTTTGAGTATAAAAATGTGCTCATTTTCCATCACCTTCTTTCAAAGAACAATGAACTTGCCCGTTTGCTCTAAATATGGAGTGCATAAGACACATGATACAATTCAACTTTATTTTACTTAATGATAATTTTAAAATGATTCATGAGTCGATGGTATTTGTAATATTTAAATACAAAACATTTAAAATTTAGCACAAATAATACAGGTTAATGCATAGCCAGATTTGGATAAAGTTATATGAACCAAATTATTCCTTTTGTGTGTTTGAAAGGGGAAGTACGTTGTTATAAAGTCCTAGGATGAGGCCCTGGGGCTTCAGGTGTAAGAAGGGGTGGATCAGGTGGGAAGGCTTCAGGTTGTTCCAGTTGAGCTCTTAGCTCGGAGCGGACTGAGGGTGCGGCACCGCAGCCCAGTGGGGGAGCAGTACACCGTCTGTTCTCCCCTCTCCATAAACACCCCCAAGCTAAGTTTTCCGAAGTGCTCTTTTCTAGCATTTACTTAGCAAGGGCTTTTCTTGGGAAGCAGGGGCCAGGGCTGTGGCGAGTGATTATCTGGGAGCAGCCAGGCATAAGCTCAGAGGCTCTGGAAAATTGGGGAGGCGACACAGGCAGATTCTTCTTCCTTTTGTGGACTGGGGAAGAGGGTTCTTGGTGAATTTCCAGCTTATGAAAGGAAGAACACAGGTGTGAAAGGTTTGTAACTGTATGTTAAAACAGAGTCGCACAGATATTGATTAAAAAAACAAAAAAGGCATTGTAAACACACTTTTATTTAAAATTAAGATTTCTGAAACAACTATACCAACAGTGGTCTCATAGGTCTTTAGCCAAACAAGACATAGCACTAAAATAATTTCGTTAATTTTAACTTTTGAGGCTTTTTTTAAAAGCACCACTTAAAATTTATATATTCTAGTCCTCCAAAATTAAATATAGAAAAACTGTTCTATCTCAGAAGTGAGTTTGAGAACGCACAAGAAAAACAAAGCCAATTTTTCAACCTCTGGTTATTGGTATAGAACACTAAATTCAAAGTCAATTTTAAGAATTTCCTATATTTTTCACTTAGAGGAACACAAACTCAGAACTATCAATGAGTTTCTTGGTAAATTTCTAGCTCTTGGAGGGCTGAAACTTTTCACAAATACAGTTACTGGCCGGATGCCTTTGATCACTCAAAAAGGTAAAGTATAGGATTCACAAGTACTTTTTTTTGAGAAGTCTGAGAACGACCCCAATCGCCTGGAACGGCTTGTAACAATCCCTGAACACTTCTGAGCTTCAGATTTTGAAACCAACTTCCACACAGGATATAATAAAAACAAGACACCTGTATACTACACTGCTGACGTAGCCTGAACCGGCCGAAACAGCCTGAGACCCAGTCCCTCGGAACCAGGCTCCCGTCCCAAGCGCAGAGGCCCCCGTGCAGCCGCTCCCGGCCGGTCGGCAACAGCCGCGTGGGCTCCGGCCCGGCCCCAGCCAGAAGGGCCCGGCCGCCGGGACAGCGGCCCAGGCCCGCTCGCCTCACCGCCGGTCCGCCCGCCGGCCGCCCTGCTCCGGCCGGGCCCGCTTCCCGGGCGGCGAGGGGCTGGCCGCGCGCCGCGCCCGGGCCTGGGAGCCGCGCTGGGCGGCCGGCGCTCGGCGCTGCCTGCGGCCCTCCTCCCGCGGCTTCGGGCTCTGCGCGGGCTCCTCGCTGCCCTCCTTCGGCTCATGGTCCTGCTCCTTGTGGGCGGGCAGTGTGTTCTTGATCGTGTTAAGGAGAAACCTCTTGTTCGTGCCGGCCAGAGGGCACTTCATCCTGCGGGCGAAGAGGGAGAGCCGCAGGTCAGCACGCGCGCTGCAGAGCCGAGCCCGCGGCCGCTCGGGGCCAAGGGCGCGGCTTCCGCGGAAACAAGGGTCCGGATCCGTTCAGCTTTCCTTGCGTGCCACCTAGTGTAAACTCCGGGTACAGGGGGACAAATCGGGGCACTGGGGAATTCCTGCGCCGGGCTGAGGGTGCCGACCCTCCTTCCTTGGCAGGACCGCCGTTCCGCACAGAGGCGTCAGCCACCACGCCGACGGCCTGGGTCGGTCAGTACCGTCTCCTTGGGTAGTAAATGCCCGATTTGACCATAATCTGCATTTTGAGTTAAATCTATCATGACTTGCTTTTAATTACCAAAGAGTAAAATTAAGTCCCTCTCCAAGGAACAAAACAAGTATGTCTTGCTATATACCTTGAATACTGGAGCTAAATGCTCTACTCTAGAAACAAAAATTATCTAAAGAATCCATAAAAATTCAACAATCATATTTTACCTTTTAAGAAACTCTCACATTTTCTATTTCAGGGCTGCAGCCTATGTTCTGCTGCGGAGCACTTTACACGGAGGAGGATGTAACTAATTAAATTGTTATTTTACATGCTTAGACATACTTATATACTACAGTAGTTAAAAAAATTTTTTTTTCAGATGTAGTAAATCTTTCACTTGGAAAAGAAAGCCCACACAGATGAAAACAGGCATATTTCTCTTGGCCATCTGATGGGCTATTTAGAAGGATGCTGATCTCCAAATTCATGTTATTAAGGGAGGCTGGTGTTAAACTAAAATGAATGTAGGATTCTATAATCTCCATCTTTAGATCAAACTTTGATTCAAAGAGAATCCCACACAATACTTCAGAGTCAACCCACCAGTACTACACTGTAGAGACCATAGTCTAGCACCAAATAAGTGAAATATAGGCAGTCATCAGCCTAGTGTCACTTACACGGAGGTGAGACCACCTCAGGCCACCAGGATAGCACTGAATCTGGAAGTAAAAGGAGAAAACAAATAGAAGAAAATGTCTCCCGCTGCAAATACACAGCTCTCCAGCCTTCACAGACAGAGAGAATAAATGAGAAGAATCAAAAGTGATCCTCAGGCCAGGAAAAGTGATGGGGGAACTAACGAGAACATGGAGAAGAAATGACAGAAAGGACACCAAGGTGTAGAAGAAGTGGGAATGTTTTAGAGGTGGTGACGGCACCGGAGTTTTTGCTTTGTTTTCAGCACGGGAGTTTCGAAGGCACAGTGAATGAATGGGAAGAGGAGCAAAGAAAAAGTTCTGCGAGTCCTGGGGGATACAGCTCTGTTTAGCTCCCTGCAGCTTCCAAAAGTGCACCAGCATCATGCTACCTCAGCCTTCCCCAGGCAAAGCCATCTGCACCTCCCAGACCTACATGAGTGAGCCTGTTCTGTGCGATGCGGCAGGCATGTGACAAGAGAGCAGCCGTGCTCTTACCTGGGTGGCTTTATTAGGCTATCACTGAACGCAGGCACTGCTTTTGGTGAAGAACCTTGAACCACCACAGTTGCAAATTCAGCAAAGATTCAGAAGAGTGTTGCACACTGGTGTTACAAAATAGCACAATACTGCTGATCTGCTGAAAAAAACTATCCTTCAACACAAAAAAAGCTCTCCTGCCCCTCTTTGGCCCCTGTGACCCAGTGCTTACTGTAGGAGCCAAGCTGTTTTTATGAGTCAGTGGACCACATTTATCTCTTGGATGCAGGAGGCTAGGTATAGCCAGCTACAAAGAATTCTAGGGTGTTTTCATTGGCATGGGCCATCTCAGTGCTGATAAAATTGGTCAGTTCTTCTCTGAATGAAACAAATAGGAAAGGTGATTATTGGTAGATGGGACATTAACCCAGGATATCAAAACAAAACCTTTGGTAACTCCTGGTGATTTCCACTATATTTTGCTATCTTCCATGTAAGATCATCTTTTGCCCCACTGCTCACCCAGGATGAACAAAGCTCTTTTTCTGCTGGAGACATGCCAAGTTCACACTCAAGGGTGAGGTCCATTCCAGAGGAGATGCTTCCAAGCTTCCAGCTGCCGGTGTAACCACTGACTCAACATAGTGGCCAACGAGCTATTCGGAGATGAGATGATTTTCTAGAGTAAAGTCCACGAGAAAACTGGCCTTTCCATCTACCCCCCTCCCCTTTTTAAGTTTCCATTCCTTTTTAACATCAAAGTTGTGATTTTTGATGTTGGTTGTGCCTAAGATTCTATTCAAGGTAAAAAGTCAAGGATAGCTTAGAATTTGGTTTACTTGAGGGAGAAGGTGGGGGGGCTTTGAAAGTGACTTCCCCAAACATGCCAGGACACATTTTAGAAATGACCAGGACAATGAGATTGAGTAGTAGTTACAGCAGATGTGGAGGTACGTGTAATAGATGATTCTGTATAAAGAAATTATAAAATCTGCATTGAATATATCAAAGTATAAGGAGCATAACATCAATGCTGATGTTTGACGAAGTAAACATGGAGAGAAGTAAACTGGCAGAGAATTTCTCTGGCCTTTAATGTAATAAATGATTTGCTCAATCTCATAGCCAGCTGTTTTATTGCTACAAACTCATACAACATGGTACTGGCTAGGCACACATGCTCTAGAATCACATGCCTTATCATACTGAGCCTTGGATCTATTATATAATCTCCCCATTGCCTTTTACCTGTTACACAGTACCCAAAATATAACACGCACTTGATAAAAACATTTGCTTTGGTTCATATTCTGCTCTACTGATTAGTTGTCTGACCGTAGACAAGCTACTTCACTCCTCTATACACCAGTTTTCCCCTTTTGTAGGTGGGAGAAATAGAAGTATCTATATAATGTGAGGATTGAATGAGATAAAGTGCATAAAGCACTTAGCATAGATCCTGGCATATAGAAAATCTTCAATACATGTTACTTATGGGTCTGTAACTTCTTATCCACAACTCCACAATTTTAAAACCTCTGAAAACAAGTTCTTTTTATGACACCAATACTTGTTTGGCAGAAACCTGACCTAACCTGACACTGGGCTATTTATATCTAGTCTTTACCCCATTTAGAATAAGTATTCATACATTTTGCTGAAGAGGGATGATGTGTCGAGCAAGTACCACTGGGGGTACTTGTAGTGCACACTGTATGTACTAAAGGACCTTTTTAAAATGTGAAAATATTTAAATTTAGAAATTTGTCTGGATTCAAGGGTTTTAAACAAAGGATTGTGGGCCAATATTGTTATTACTCATCCTCTCTTCATGAAAAATACATATAGCACTCACATAAGTTAATACACCAGGAATTTTTCCATGATGACAACTCAAGATAACATTCGCAAGTCGCAAATAACCTAGGATAAAAAGTTAATCAAGAATAGTATAGAATATCTGGTGTTTCTCAATGAATAAAAGGAAAAGATTTTAAAAAGGAAAAAAAGCTATCAAGAAAAAAATAATGAGATATTTTATAGAACTTTTTGTAAAAATGGTTAAAATTGAAAAGTTCTGGTACTTAAAATGGTTTGAGTTCCATAGCTGGAAGTTTCACTTTACAGAGCATCTCGATTCTCCATTGGCATCAGGCTAAGAGGGCTCCTGGGGACTACCTCTGACTTTATGGCATTTCCGAAGGTTCTGTAAGCTCAGTTTACCGATGCTCCACAATATCACACTAAAGGTGGAAGTCGGTGATCTCTAAAGTCCCTTCCAGTCTGAAAATGCACTGCTCATGCTCTGTATGTTAATCTTTTAGAAAATGGCTCCTCTTATTCTTCACATTAGGAAATTACTCCATTTCATTGATCTCTCTGTTGTCCTGCTTCTCAGCTCTTTCTTGGCATCATTTTTTCCTGCATTTGAGATGACATGATAAGCTAGCATTAGATACCCGACCACTCTAAAGCTTTTTCCACATCCTCAGTGAGGGAAAAGCTGGAGCCCCCCCGTGGGAGCACCGGCCACGGCTGCCTGACGCGTCTGCACTATCACGGGTTGTGCCAGGTGTGGGGCCCGAGGAAGGCCACAGGACAGTCGGCTGCTTTCCTGTCTGTAGCTCTGACCCACACATCAACTTTCTCACCCTGCCTGTTTATTTTTATTTTTGGTTTCAGAAAGTTGTAGTAGCTCATGTGAGAAGAGCCAGATTTGAGGTGCTAACAACATAAATGGATATAAAACTCTAAATATAATTAGAGACTGCTTAAAACTGCTTTGGAAAGTACCTCCAACACTACTGTTAGACTTAAGGGCCAGCATTCTGTGTAGGTTAAACTTTAACAGTGAAACGATTCCCTTCACTTTGCAAGTTGTCAGCCCAGAAGCTATGATGACAGGTTTTGCATGCCATGAGGGACAGAGATTTGTAGAGAATCTGCCACTAGAGAGACTAAAATTGATGGAGGCTATGATTGTAAGCTTTCCATCTTTTTTTCCCCTTTTAACCTTTTTCTTTCTTTTTTGAGTAGGCACACTGCATAACATAATGTACAAAAATCAGGCACTTTCTCCTTACAGTTATCATACTCAATTTATGAAAAATAGTAAACTGTACAACAAACGTAGAGAACAGAAAAGGGAAGATAAATGTAATGGCTTTTATTTTCTTTCTGATTTTAGTACTTTTTATTTCTACTGCTGAAGGACAGAAATAGTAGTATCTGGTATTCTATAGATTTAGACCCACCACTTTCGGTTTCTAAAGTAGTTTCATGAATATGACCCATCAAATAGTGACACATGATCACTTGCCAGTAAAAACAGACAGCGTTGACGTAACTAACATTCATGGAGCAATTGCCTGGGGCCATTCCATCACCAGTGCTACCTCACTTCATTTTGTCAACCATTTTACAGAGGAACAAAAGAAGAGGAAAAGCTAAGATCTCAAGCCAGTAGGACATGGAGCTGGGACTGGAACCGGGGGTCTGCCTCCAGAGGCCACCTTCCCAGCACAATCCCTTATGGGGCAGAAGGGG